ATCCACCCGTCTGATAATCGTGCGTACCCGGCCAGTCGGAAAACTACGCAACGTCAACTAGCCTTCTGTGTAAGACAGCAACACTATGCCAAGTAGCAGAAAGCAATTAGAGACGAATTCAAAAGTGCTCCAGTCGAAGGGTAAATGTGGGTCCGCCGAAAGTAACCAATTAGTCAAATTCGGTTTTCCTTGCTCATATTGTTCCAAAATGTGCAACACTTTTTCAACAAGACGTGAGAGCTCAAACAGCTCCCAAGACGATAACTGGTTTTGTAGTATGTGTTCGACGATCCCAGTAGTCAAATGGATAGTCCTCCTAGTCCAAAAGTGCGAGCGATTAACAGAAGAAGTTGAACAGCAAACGAATGATGAGATTATATCACTGGAAGCGAGTAGGCACCATGATAGCACAGTGGCTTCGAAGAGAAGCATTGGTGCGAAAGTTACTCCGCTCGAACCACGGTTGACAACGTTCCCTTTGATGTCATCTTCTTCAATTTTGGAAGAACGCCAGGTGAAAAAAGACCGTAGCTCTGATGGACAATCGGTACTTAGGATCCCAAAAATTAGGGCATCACTCGAAACGCGTGATCGATCAAATGCAGTTGGTCTTGACAATATGCAGCATTAACAAGGATGGGACAGCCAAAACCGAGTCTACTGCATCTGTAACCCAAGGTTCTCTGGTCGAGGTCAAATCCCCTGAGACTGCAGAGGTTGCTGCAAAAGTCCATCGGGATGCTACTTTTAGTGTCTCATCTGTTGCAAACACCGCTAACGCCAATGGAGCGATGAACAGTGGACCATCATCACTTGGCATAAAGCCAGGCCCAACGATCACGCGGCATTGCAGTTCAACAAAAATGCGATCCAGTAATAATTCCATGACTGTCGAGTGAAACAATGTTCCCTAATCTACCGCCACCACATTGCGGGGTAAGTTATTTAACGACCAAGACCAGTGGAACTCCCTGTGCATTTTAATGAACGTAAAAACCAAATCCATCGTCACCCGAACTCTGAACACTATGGCGAACTCAGAATTATTAGGGTAACACTGGAATCGGCCAATGATGTAGAAAACCTTTTGCTCTCTGAAAGTGCACCACAACACGGGCTTTGTAAGGTAGGTATCTATCCTGAGGTCCCTTAGAGCACGCGACAATCGAAAAGAAACATCACAGATGGACATCGGAAGCTGGATTATCCAAGCACCATATTTATTTATGGAGTGTCCGAACTTGCTTCTCACTAGTCGTGTGGCCGGTAATCATGATTTGGAACAGTGGCGGTTCATTCGTGAAACACTTTCCTTAGACAACGTTGTGGCGCGATCGCTCAAAAGGCTACCTCTCTCACCAAATTATAGAGGAAGCGAACCAAGAATCCTAAAACTCCTGGTTCAGTCAGAGCAGAGAGCAAATGAATGTTAGAAAGTTGACGGAGACATCGTAAAAGCCTTCCGTCTGAACTTCGGTTACAAAATGCTGAGTCCTTGCGAAGACTGGATATGAGACTACCTGAAAAAGCAATCCTGTTAGTGACTACGCATGAGTACCTCTTTACCTCTCGGTCACGCCATTCTGCAGCATTTTCAGACGGGGAATGGGAAGTACATTGGCGAAATCAGTTTGCGAACGACTTGCCATCATCATCCCATCAAAAAAGGAATAACGGCCAACCTGGCATCGGTCGGCATTCTACAACACTTGATTGCTTTGGTTTATTGTGGGCGCCTAGAGACCGAGAAACTATCCTGCTTTAGTACAAATGCTCAAGTCCTCTTCTTTAAGCTTGCCGAACTGAAGGATCGCCAAATTTCGAAGCCATGCGACATTATCGATGTCACGGAGATATGGTTGCACACTGAGATGACAGACGCTGAAGGTTCGCTGCCAGGTATGTCACTCATATGAAACCACAGGCTTACGAAAGGAGAAGGGGTAATGATGTATTATCGAAACGAGCTACAGTTCGAGGCCGTAGAGGATTCAGTCTTACAATTCGCCGAATCTCTTTGTTGTCGCCTGCAATTGCATGGCAGACACCTGCATTAAAGCTTTGGTATACCGCCCCCAAACTTTACATCGGAACTGGACTGTCACTTTGCGACAGCTTCAAGATGTAGCCTAGAGCGAAAGCGCACTCACACCGTTATCAAGGGTGATTTCAAAATACACGGCTTAGAAACTACTGTAACAATCGGAGAGACATTTAAAGCAGCTCTGTAAGAGCTTCTAACCTGTGTTCCACTTTACAATCACGTCATTACACCCACTCGTTTCAGAACAGGTAATATAGGCACTTTGCTGGATCTGGTTTTCACCAACGAGGAACATATGATTGATGTATTGATCGTAGAATGCCCTTTGGGTCGCAGTGCTCATGCACTCATCAGTTTGGACTTCGTCTGCTATGCGTAATATCGCTATCAGAACCGTGATTTGGTGCGCACCATTACGTGCCACGACCGCTTAGCCCAGCTCCTCAGTGCCACAAGCTAGTCGTTCTTCGCTGAAGGCCATCCGGAAGTCTCTTGGCTTAAATTAGTCAGCAAATTCAATCAACTGGTTACGGATGCCTCAGAGATAAGAGTTTTCAATTGGCCCAAAACCACCTTTCCTGAGGAGCAGAACAAGAAAATGAATGACTATACACAACCTAACCTGACGAGCGTACAGATCATCACCAACGCCAGATAACTGGGACAACTACGTAGCCCATCGTAACCGCTGCACTCGATTGCTTAGAGATGACAAAGTCGCAAATCAGCAGAATATGGTGAAAACTTTCAGCGCTAACCCAGGCTGATGTACAAGTATGTCAGTGGTTGTCGTAAGGTGAGGCAGGGAATTCCTCCTCTCCGGATGACTGATGGTCCAACTAGAACAGCTATAGAAGCAGCAAACGCGTTGAGGACGCAATATGCTCCCACATTTCAGAGGGTCTTACCACCAGGCCATCTTCCAAATTTTGTTTTCCCGCCCCTAGGACTCCCCCACATCTCTTTTACTGACGAAGCTGTTTTTCGAAAGCTGACCTCTCTGCGCAACCACGTCTCACCGGGAGTCGACACCATTCGTTCAGAGACACTGGGAGCAGCAGCAAGACAACTGCAAGACCTTTGGCACAGTTCTTCCAGCATAGCTTAGACCAGAAGCAGATTTCTGCGATGTGGAAACTTGGAATAATAACTGCGATTCACAAAGCCGGAAGCAGGACTGAGTCCTCAAACTACCGCCTAGTGTCACTTCTCCCTGTATTATCCAAGTTTATGGAATCCATCGTTGCCGATGCGTTGGTGTGTTATCTAGAAGATTGTAACATTACTGCTCCCGAGCAACACGGTTTTCGTCGACAGCGACCATGCACTATGAAGTTATTAATCGCGCTGAGTAGTTGAACCGAATCAGCTGATGCTGGAGAGGCCGTAGATGTACTTGTATCTACTTGGATTTGTCGAAGGCTTTCGATCGTTTGGATCATCAGGTTCTCCTTTCGAAGCTCCAATATTACAGTATCGGTGATACCTTCTTGAGTTTGATCGCCAACTTTCTCCTGCAACGACTATTAGTGGTGAGAGTCCGGAGTTCCCTATCTGAACCCATACCAGTCAAGTCTGGTGTGCCCCAGGGCTCAGTTCTAGGTTCACGATTGTTTTTGGTATTTATCAATGACCTTGCACGGAATATCGCTTCAAATTTCCTGCTGTTTGGTGACGATCTCAAGATATGGCGCCGGATTCAGGCGGATGCCAATCAGAATTTACTTCAGTGTGACCTAGATACGATACATAATTGGTCAACCCGAAATGTGTTACCGTTCAACGTGGACAAGTGCAGGGTACTCTTCATACGACACCAGAGTACCTATTCCTACAATCTAGGAAGGCAAGTACTGCAGCGGTCATCCGTCAAACGCGACTTTGGCGTCCTTGTTCAGGATTCTTGGGCTGTTCCAAGCCATCTGCTAAGGGCTCGAAAACTAAAAACCAGCACGTCGGCTTGCTACCACGGGCGTTGGGAGAACTAGAGACCATTATTTTCAGAAAAATACTGGATGCGTACGTTCGTCGCCGTGTCGAATACGCAATCCAAGCCTGGCAGTCATGGCTGAAGCACGACCTTACTGCATTGGATCAACCTCAACGTCGGGCTTCTAAATGCGTCATTGGAATTCGCCACCTCCCTTACGAGCAGAGGCTGAAACGTTTGGGAATATTCATCAGGCGGTATCACCGACTACGAGGTGACTTGTTTATGATGTATTTGATTTATAAAAATCCAAATAATGTGTGCTGCTCTTTACTGCAATTCAGCAGTAACACCAAATTTAGAGGCCACTCCTTGAAATTAGCAGAACAATACAACCGCCCGACGTGCTGTAGAAACGTCTTTACCATTCGTGTGTGTCAACCAAGGAACGTTTCAGCACCTATGCTGACCATACTTGAAAGTCTGTCGGACGATGCACTCTGTCACTTACATCTTGTTATTTGACGCTACTCTCTATCCTACGCCAGGAAAATACCTTGTATTTACTTTTTTTTTCGCTTATTGAAGTTATGGAAATGCTCTGGGTGCCGGACTACTGAAGCAAAAACGATAAGTCCATTATTTTGGTAGTAAAACCCTTAACTGTTTTTACATTAACGTTTTTTCGCTAATCCGGCAGACCACCCAACGAGGCTTGTAAAGCAATGCTTCTTAACCCGTATAAAATCATTGTTTATCATTTCTCTTGCCAGATCATCTGCACCTAACCTGTGTATTACGCATCCGGAAACTTATTGCTTTGCCCTCTCATAACCACAAGTGCAATGCGTACCCGTTGCCAGATATAAGAAACACTTCTTCAATAGCAAGTTAGACATAATATCTAGTAGCTTAGCTACTCACCAGGCGTGAATGCGGCCAAGTACAAAAGTACGCAGGTCTTTCTGTAACCTCTTTTGATCGCTCCACATTTGTCTCACTGAAATCTTTTCTTAACTCCAACAGAATGTTTACAGAAACTACGAGCTGACGTGGTTTTTGTCATGGAATCTTCGGAGAGCATTGATCAGTTCTCTTATGAATTCTACTTAAAAGACTATCTAAGTAGTATGGTTAAGAAGGTAAGCCATGAGTGTCAATATTCTATACCGAAAGCATGCTCATATTTTGATGTATTACTAAAAGAGATTTAACTATATGTCCTAGTTGCGCATTGGAGCTGACAACGTGCTGGTATCCGTGGTGCTATATTCAGATCGGGTCTTTCTAGCGATCAAACCTGAGCTGACTTACACATTACGCGATCTGCTTATGGCTATCCGAAACTTACCCTATCTCGGTGGTACGAGTTCATTGGCAATCATGGAGCAAGCGATTGTGACTACCTTAATAGACGCTTTCCCGCCAAGGACATCGAATGCCGATACGAATACCACTCGGGTGTTGATCCTGCTTACGGCAGGTCACTTAACCCAATGGGGCAGCTGGATGGTGTCCGCAAATTCTTGGAAGGATGCTCCGTTACCTGTGATATTCAGATCAACTAGACGACTCATCGGCTCTCGCAAGTTAGGGTCAATAGATGGCACAGAAATCTCCGCGAAGTTATCTCAGCTTAGAGTCTTGCAGGATAAAATGCGTGAATTTGTGGACCACGTGTTTTGCATCGGATTGAAGGGAGTCGATCCAATTGTACCAAACACGCTAGTGATTGCACAGGACCACGTTGTGCTTCTAGACGACTTGAATGGATATGAAGGCCTGACACTGGACACTTTGGATCCGACGCAGACACTGTGTCCATCGGATGCAAGTAAGTAATTAAATTCGATGGAAAATTATCATTGAATACGTTTTATTATTACTGACCAGTGTAAAATTTTGATGTGTTTAACTCAGTGACTTAACCCACTCCCTTAGCCAAATTTGTGTCTTCCTAGGGGTACTAGGCCACGCGCATACCTAACAGATGGCTTCCAATAACGTCGTGACAGAATAACACATAAGAGCAGCTGAACAGCCGGAGCCCATACACGTTGATGCGAATCGGATGGGTATGGAAAGGACACCACGTACAGCAGTGGTAAAAAGAAGATACCAGGCCGATACCTAACTGCTCTGTCGCGGTAGCACCATCATCGGAAGTGACAAAATGCGTCTTGTTCGCTTACACCCAATATGTTGACATATGGAGAAAAATGAGTACCAAAACCTGTCATGATTGTTCGCATAGATACCCCGTGAAACCGTATTCACTCGTTTCAATTGTTTCACCCCATCACAGTTTTCGGCACTCTGTCAGCTTACTATGCGATTTCCGCCCTATGCCTTTCTCCACAGAGACCAATCAATGCATGCAGTCGAAAAGCCAAACAGTGCTTCAAAATTCAGCCACAGAGAGGACAAATAGATCAGTGAGTCCGGTGTCCATACTCGACTCTCTGATCCCACCGGAACTAGCACGTAACGCACAGCAGGGGTACATGGTGCCCCATCGAAACCTGTTTGAAAATACGGTCAACGCTGACTTCTACGGACGGTGGTCAAAACGTCAGCGCCTGCGAAAGCGCCTAAGAACACTACTAGAGGTACTCCTTAGAGAAAAGTCAACGGTCGAGGAAGATACCAATGGCCGCATTCAGAGTCAGACAGTTGCAAGTGGGTTCCCCATTTCCGGTGTACACGGCCTCACAAACCATCCACAACCGTGGCCGTTGTATTCGGAAAACTTATTCCAACCTTTCCGGCATGAGCACTATCGATCCATCGCACAAACACGGAGCCCACCCATAGACTCATCGGGGCTGGATCAGAGAGCCAACTTAATGCAACCCGGTGTGCACGATACTCAGCAGGAGCATCCCGTTTTGGGGCGCGCCTCTCTTAAGCCTAGACGGAACAATAACGGGGAAGTGCATGTCCTTTCTCATAAAGAAGACCCTCTAGAGGAGGCCGTCGCTAAGGTGGGACCATTTGCCGGTCGAAAGATGGGCGTGGATCACATTTCTTCGCTTAACAAGCAATGGAGTAATCAGGTAAACGCACAGGTTAATCGGTGTTCGATTGTACACTCCGCTTTTCTGGTGCAACACATATATGTGTGACTTAATTTATATACGAATCAGCCCGCTGCACTAGATGAAACTGTGATTACGTGCCTTCACATGAGTAAGTGCCTTATGAAAAGTGGAACTTCAGCCAATCTGTCCGTATGTCTGTAAGCAGATAACTTGGATACTGACAATTCATAGTCGCGCCAGATATCATAGGATAAACGATAATGTGCGCCAGTTGGGAAGGAAGCGAATCAGAATGACTCGCAGGAACTGGTAAGTGAACGCAAACCGTTGGACGAAACGGCAATCACCAGCCGTTCATTGAGGCGAGATACGCTATTTCTTAACTAGACCGACGGTAGACATTTGACAGTCATCCGGTAAACCTTTTAGAAATAAAAACGGGGCCTTCTACTGGTCGAGTAGATCTGAACTCAACTTCGATAACTCAATGAACAATGATATATTACAGATAAAGAGGCGATTGCTTTACAAATGCCGTAGGATGGTTGCAGTGAAAGCAAACATAAGTGTAGTCGTTAATGTAAGCGTCTAGCGATTCAGATGCCCTGCTTTATTAGCTTATCTTAGAATGCGAATTGAATTGTTACTGTAGAGTAATATGGGAAAGGCATGTCTTAAGAACAAAGGAAACGACAACGCTTACTCGTGCGTCGATTTCTTGGACTCATGTAATTGATGAATGCAGTTGTAGTATGTCCAAATGACATTCCACAGCAGCAGCGTGTAAGTAGTAAAGCACAAAAGCCGAGAATGAGCACCGTTTGTTTGACGTAGACATCACTGATTATATAGCGTAATGTAACTGGATGAATGAGTCATCAAGACGTCTTTTGCATACCGTTAGCGTGGAGGAAGAAACTATGTATGTGGGAAGAGTGTTCCAGTGTTGGTACACAAGAAATGAAAAGAAATTCCGGCGGCATTCCAGCCGGCTGTATCGTGTGGCCAGCTTTAGCTGGTGTCCTCTGAGTGTGGTATTGCGATTCAGCTTTAGTAGGTGACGACAAGAATGGTTTGAATTCCTTAGGATCATATAAGTCATTATCAAGTCGCCATGCAGGCGTCGATATTGTTCACTGTAGACACCGAGAGTTTTCAGCCTCAATCGGTAAGGGAGATGAAACAGGCCCTTTACCTTCTTGGTCGCACTTCGTTGTGACAGTTCAAGAGCGGTAAGGTCTTGCTTTTGCCATGGCAGTCAGGTGTGGATGGCGTACTCAGAATAAGGCCGAATGTAGGCGTTGGTCATCTGAGAAAAAATGGAAGGATGAAAGCGCCCGAATGCTCTCCGCAAAAGGCCAAGGTGTTGGTTAGCTTTTTTGGAGGCTTTCTCGGCCTGACGGGAACAGCCCAGATCTTCCTGCATTATCACGCCCAGATCGCATTCCGTTGAAGTGCGCGGCAATATTTGATCCCTCGGTCTGTATCCGCAAGTGGCTTTATGATGTATGCTCAACACCTTGCACTTTGTAGCGTTGAACTGAAGCAGGTTCTGAGTTGACCATTCGTATACCCTGTCAAGATCATCCTGAAATGCTGCATTGTCGCTGATTGTTCTAATTGCTCGCCATCTCTTGAGATCATCAGCGAAGAGTAAGGAGTTGTAGGTGACCAGTGTCGCGAGATCGTTTATGTAAATCAGAAATAGTCGTGGACCAAGTACTGAGCCCTGGGGCACTCCGCAATTAACCTCGATTGGGTCAGAGATGACGCCGCGAGATCTTACGTTCAGATGTCGTTGAAGCAAGAGGTTACCTATCCAACGGAGGATTGGGTCACCAATTCCACAGCACTGTAGCTTGTGAAGGAGGATATGGTTGTTTGACGGTCAAAGGCATTTGAGAAGTCCAGATATATTCTATCGACACCTACGTCGCTGTCGCCAGTCTCAGTCCAACTGGACCTAGCAAGTAGCAAGTTTGAAGTGCATGATCGGTTCTTGGGAAATCCATGTTGTTCTTGTGCTATGATATTGGGTTCTTCCAAGTAGTTCATGAGCGTTTCGGTACCAATCGCTTCCATGATTTTGGAGAGCACCAATAGTGGTGTTATCGGTCGATAGTTAGTCGGATCTGTACGACTTCCCCATTATGAATGGGAGTGACGAATCCCTACTTCCACATCGTTGGCACCCGCATCTCATAGAAGCATCGTTGGAAGAACTTGGAGAGTGGGTCCGCCAAGTTTACTGCAGCCAATTTCAAGGTCTTTGGACGAATATTATCAACCCCGGGAGAAGTATGCCCCGCGCAGGGCAATTAGCTTTTCCACAACATCCGCAGTCGCAAACTTGATGTTGCTGAGTCCTGATGGTGGTACAACGTGCGGGAACAATGTATGCGGCGATGTCGTTCGGGGTGAATTGTTGACATAGGGCGTTAGCCGCTTCGGTTGCGGTTTGTGGAAGTCCACATAACGTGTGTAAGGCAGGAATTCGTCGCTGCACTTTGCGGAGCTTGTCAACGTGTCTGTAGATGAGCTTTGGGTTTGAAAGGAATTTCTCAGCTAGATTCTGTTGATGCTGTATTTTCTCTTCGCGTACCAGCTTTTCGCAGTGATTCCTTTGGATAATGTAGGCTTCCCATGTTTCGGCACTCGGCGACCCCTTGTATCTTCGCCAGAGTAAATTCCTCCTAACAATACACTTACGTGTCCTGCTACGTATGAATGATTTTACTGTCTTCGCTCGCGAAGGTCTTTTCCTAGAAGCACTAGTTACTACCATTTTCAATTAGTGCACAAAACCTGACCGGGCGGCATCGGGGGATCGTCCTGCTAGAAATGCCCAGTTTGTAGCACTTATGAGTTTGATTAGAGCGCCGTAATCCGTAGTGAGCTGACACTCCTGTGTTTTCTACGGAATACTCTGCATAACAGATGTAATTGAACATGAGTGTTGCATGGTCGCTACGGTTCAAAGGACTCTCTATCGATATCGTTTCGATCATAAGCTCTTCGTTGGTGAAAATGAAATCCAGGACATTCGGTTTGTTTCCCGTCCTGAATCTTGTGGGAGATGCGCTGCAATTGTAGAGTGGTAGTCCACTTAGTATCTTCTGTACTTCCATTTTGAAGCGTTCGTTTATACCGGCTGTGTTTCTATGCCGTGAATATTGAAGTCACCAGCCAGCAGAATGTGGCTGTACGACTGTGAGAGAATGGTCTTCATTGTGGAGGCTAGGCGGTTGTCTAATTCCAAAGTAGCCGACGGAGGGCAATACACGGCACCCAACAAACATGCGTCCCTACGGCTTAGATGAAGACAGCACCAAAGTGCATCGACAATCTGAACTTTAGGTCATCGATGAGATCAAGGTGCGGTTCGCTGCGACAATAAAGTAGTACTCCACCTCCTTTACTTGCTCGATTGTTGCGTAGAATAGACAGCCTATGTAGTGCGATTTCTTCATCAGTGATCGCTTCGCTCAACCAGGTCTCGGTTATCATAACGAGATCCCTTGACATCGAGGCCTGACGCAGGCGAAGCACCGTCAGTTTGCTTAAAAGACCTTGTGCATTAGTATAAAAACAGGAGAGTGATTCATATGTTAGAAGGTTTTCAGTGGATGTAGGCAACCGTTTTGAGACCTGGACAATCCTCGTGAGGTCGGCTGCTATTCGTATTTTTGAATAGTCGTCGGCTCGCCAGCATGAAGTGGAATAACTCACTGGGCCATGCAATCGGGTTCATGATGATCCTGATGGTCACTCACCTCCTGCGGTGTCTCGCCGATGCTATGACGGCTGTCAGATCAGTCTCTGTGGTGGAGTCTGCAACAACGTTTCGCTTTTGACACAAAGATTTTTGTGTCAAAAGCGAAACATGGTTTATCGCTATAAATATATTAACCGGTCATCTACCAGGTTTTCTGAAATGGAGTCACACGTGTCTTTGCTGACGTTTTCCTAGAAGCAACCGCTGCGTAGGATGTCTCGTTATTCTTTACCGTGGGCTTGCTGGAGTTTTGTGTTTCGAGTATGTCAACTGAATTACTAGTTATTACACCTTTGGAGAACGTGGAAGCGGGTGGGTTGTAAACGACCTTTTCACTTAGTGCAGTCATGTAGCTAGGGGCCGTTGAAGACTGAGACGTGATGATGAGGTTGGGACGCCTGGCCCTCTTCTTAGGCCTAAACGAGGAGTTTGTAGGTGTTCGTTCAGATGCAAGTGTAGCATTGATTACTTTCACAGATGCATTGCTAGCGTTCACCAGTTGCTCAACTGTTTCCGCCAACTTTTCACATTTTTCATTAGGAAGATGACGCAACTAACAACAGGGATGGATTTGCACACCTGGCAGAACCAAAAGGCATCGGTTTTGCTGCTGTATTGTCTAATTTCGGGTGCACTCATCCCTAAACACTTCGAATGGTACGCCTTTTGACAGTTAAAGCAAACTGGACAAGACCTAACGGTTTTTACACGTAAGTCACAATTGACTTTCGAATGGGCCATGTCCATTGGGGGCGTGCACTTCGTCATTGTGACTTGCACCAATTCCAAAAGAGATTAGATAGAAAAGGAGAGTTCAGAATCTAGGTTGCAGATATCTCACTTATCTACTTACCAGTAGTATAGAATGGAATAATTCTACTGATATTTGTGGTCACGGTCAGTAACGGTGCAGCGAACTAGGAATGACTGCAGATGGTGATGCTATGATGTAAAGATTCTACAATAACAAGATGGAATGGAGCAACTGGATGTGTACACTACAACAGGGGTAGCAAGAGGACAGAGATACTGACGCACTGTGTACGACTTCGTTTCACTTTTCGTTGCGTGGCAATCGACGCTGGTTTGAAGTCAGAGGCGTCAAGCGTGTCGCGTCCAGATGAGTCACACTTTCCTTAGGGTAGATAGGCGACGTGCGTGCTATCGATCTAGCCGGTAAGTGGATAGGCAGCGATGCAGCGTAGGATTGAGGCAAAGGAAGATGACTTGGAAAATACTGTCTACTGGCGACAGTGACTGTTCCAAGGGTGGACCAAATTGACAACTAACGCTTTGTACAGAGACTAGAAGGAATGGTAGTAAGATGTTCGGGTGACTTTTTAAAATATCTTTCAAACAAGACCACAAGGGTTCTTGTGCGATGTGAGGAAAAATAAATTCTCCGATAAAGTTCAAGCACAGTTGACTTCGAAATTGCAAGAGCACAATTTGTTGGTGATCCGCGAATGACAGATCCAACAGATGAACAATGGTAGGAGGAGCTTGTGGAGCAAAATCAAATGATAGCACGTAGGTCTCTGTGAGAATAAATCCGAAGATTTAAAGGCAAATAACGCAGGAGGACACTTTTTTTGCAACCGCTCGGTAGACATACAAGACACAAGGACGAAAGTGAGTGAGACGACTCGGCTGCCGCAAGCGTTACAGAAGGCTTGTGCAATTCTGGCTTCTGGCCGTCCCGGTTTCACTATACAGGCCTGTGGCTTCTGCTTTCAATGCGCATTTGCCCCACATCGATTAGTGGCTACATGGAGACCTCCACTGTCTCACTCATGAGAGCTCTGCACGGTGTGATTCGTTAATTGCAACCACTGAACAAATCAATTTAGACTATGAGCTGCGTTACTTGATTACAAGGACTTATACTGATACGAATTGTAAAGTTAGTAGATTTTCAAATTGGTACACACGTCCTGTCCATACAGATATTTCCGGCTGTCAATCGCCACAGTATGTAGTGAATGAGTACTTTGTTAAATGGTTGATTTTCCTAACAGTTGCCCCGTAATGCGCCATTCTTTACTGAATTTAGGAAACGCAAGTGACGACAACAACACCTGATTTGACTGCCGTCCCTCAGTGCAATGGCAGCAACCATTCCGAAGAGAAGAAAGAAAAGTCTACGGCCAAAACCAGCCTATCGTCAACGGCGCTGTTGGAAACAGACGCAGTGAAACGCATGTCTAACGCATGGGAAGACTCCGCACAACACGGTGGCGCAATACTTATGCTTTTGGTGCTGGCCAACTCTGGTCGCAGTTTCACAGCACTATATTCCACTGCGGAGACAACCAATGATGTTCGAACGAGTTTTTTCAAACACGCTGAACTTGACCAATGGACCCTGGGATCTTATCAGCGCGTCATGCTGGAGCTTCGAAAATCAGGTCGACCGGTCGTTCGGTTAACTTTCAACGCAGAACATGCGGATAGATATACATGGTTTAGAGAGTCACTGTTGATCGAATCTTATCCTTGGCACGAGATGGAGCTCTTGAGACACACCATCTTCTTGAGAAGCAGGTAGGTGTCATTATGGATTTCGCAGAAAAGACAGAAAGTGGATCAAGAGTGCCCATTGATCTAACACAGTAAAACGTAATCACTTATCTAATGAGGTCGCACAAGGGGATAACTGCATCCGAGCGGTTCGAAAATGACTGAGGGATCGATTGAGCACTCAAAGGTCTTGTCGGTCGTGTGGTTCATACTGCTGGCTTGATATGGTAAGTTTTAAAGCGGCTGTATGTAGCCCGGTCAAACCCGAAAGCGCGCCCACCCGAGAGAGCTGCGTCATGCGAATCAGAGAACATGAGAAGCGATGGCCGCCGCTTCCGTCAGCAGCTAGCAGCAGATGATTGGTGTTCAAATTGGCAGTATTCATCTAGTTTATTTAGGAAATACCTTACGTACCACGGTGGAAGTAAAAGGTTGAAATAGGAGAACGCAGCAGTGAACACTGAGAAAATGACTTTAGCTTTTAGTATTTCAATGTAAACACTGTCCTACTATGCAACAAGCTTTGTTAAGGTATGGTGGGTCATGAGTACACCACTGTGCGAATTCATGTCACCGAATCCAGTTCTAAGCGCCAAGCTTGAGTGTCATCAATCGGTGTAGGTTAGATGCCTGGGACCTCGAAGAGAATAAAATCATTGCGACCGAACAATTCAGCAATTCACGGACATCACCTAGCCTGATTGCAAAGAGATCAGAGTATCCTTTCTGCTAAACGCGGCCATCGCACACATATAACACACAGCGAGGTTTGTATTTTCCTTGCATATGTGCGACATTTATCAGCATACACAGTCGATGGGAAGTATTAGTTGAATCACTTGTGCTCAAAAGGCTGTTAATTGTTTCGTTGACATCGGACACCGGACAGATAGATGTTTTTAACTGCTGGATTTGTGGGAAGGCAGTCGTCTTTCGAAGATCAGGCCAGAAGCGTTCGTTCGTGCTGTTGAAGCATAGAGCAGTTCCACAAGTAAGAGACGCGCAAGAGATATACGTTAGACACTTCGCTTGTTGGTAAATAAGACTTTCTTTTTCAACATAGTGGTGACGTTGACGATTTCGACCATGTCAACAAATCGATCCTCACAATAGCAAGAAGTAGCAACATTTCGACAGGATAATCCCAGTTCAGCTATTTCGAGTATTCTAATCAGCCGTATACAAACAATTAATGGAATGGCTAGGTTACATACAGAGACATACAAGGTATAACGTCATTGGATAATCGAAAGCGGTCAAAGTTCGTCTGATGCTGGCCGGCATTCCGCTTAGAGCAAAGATGTCCCAAGTGCGGTACACGGTCTCATCATAAAAACAACCAATTCAAGCTTGGATATTTTTCATGAAGACGATATTATATAGATTGCAAAAGTAAGGGTGTTATGAATACAAAATTCCATGGCGTCAGATGCTGGCAAAAAGCAACGATGTATTAGTTATTTTTAACTAACTAGAAGTTAATCTAGTGCCTCTACTATAGGGGTCTTAAATAACCTAAAGATCTCAAGTTCTCGGTTTCATCATTAAGATGAAAAATTTACAGCAAAAATTTTATGACGTACAACTTTGTTAGTATCTTAATGTCAGAGTGAATATGGCCCGACATTTTTTTCCTCATAAAATGTTGCCATCTTTGCGAAAAGTTTGGACACCCCTGGCTTGGAGAAATCTGACCTACAGCCCAACCAAGGCAGGGCGAGACTGGCGACGAACTCGGTCTGTTTACACAAAGTGGGTTACAGCCGCCTAATTGCCGAAGCCTCAGCAAACTGAAGCAGGCGGGCGACACTGTCGGTTGATAATCCCTAATGCTTCAGGTGGGTTTTTGCGCATGGGCAGACAAATATGTGTGGGGCGATCGAACTGGCGGGCAGCTTCGGACCATTCCCGACTAGGTTTAGCGATTATGCTCTAAAAAAACTTGTTGACAGTCTCCTCTCAGTATGGCCGGCGTACTCGCTACGCAAATGCAATAAACCAGGTGAATGAATGGGGCGATAACTCGTTGGATTTAAACAGTAAATTTCTAACTAGGTGCAAAACCAAAAACCCAACAGCGTAAAAATACCATTTTATGGATTAACGGAGATGACGCCGGAAGCTGCTGTCATTTTGGTCTCTACATGGTAGCCTTATGAACACATTTTCTAGGTACGTCGCTCACTAGTGCATTGTTGGTTTTCCCACTGGTGTTTGCACGCCGCGCTATGAACAACTTTGGATATCCGTTTTCACGCAATCGATCATTTCCTCAGAGCAGATTTGACGGGCTCTCGCAATTGGTACGAAATTGAGCTCGTTTGTAATTCACAGAACAGAAAATGTTGAAGTTAACGTACTGTCCTGTCCAGATAGGCTTACGGTACACAGATGGAATGAGTGTACCATTCGGGTTTATTTCTAGGATCACATCCAAAAAATGGGAGGCACCGGGAGATTCGTTTTAAGCCATAAACTCGATCACGTGATAGCATTTGTTTAGAGCACAACATAGGCATTCTGATTACTCTTCAGGATCCATAACGACAAGTATCATCTAGGTAGCGAGTATATGAATGCAGGTGGCCCATGAGGATATCAGCCAAGACAGGCCCGATTGGACTGCCCATGGATACACCATCAATCTGTCGATACTAAGAGTAGTGGAAACTAAAGTGGGAGTCCTTCGCGCACAAAGGTAGTAGTGATTTCAGATGGTAAGCTGGAAACCTAACTATGCTGGCATGTTCGCCTATTATGTCCAGAGTCTTCTAAGGCAACACTGGTGAAGAATGAACGCAAATCAACTGAGAACATGTGGTTCCCTTCCACGTTCAGATCCGGTATATTGTTAAAACATTCGAACGTATCTTAAAGGTTGTATCCGGTTAGTTCACGCCAAATAGGTCAAATAAGTTAGATTAACACGATCTCATTTCTCATTTGCTAATATCCTTAACGCAGTCGCTTACATCCTTAGTGCAGAAGCTATCATTCTTGTGCAGAAGCCATCATTCTTAGTGCAGAAACATTCCTCCTTAATGCATCATCCGGTAATCATCGCACTCGCATCCACGTAGCACTGCGTGGGCAGAGGCAATCGGCCGATAGAATTCAGTATAGCGTAGAGACTGAACACAGTTATGCGCAGAATACTCACGCCTTCGGAGGTGGGTAGGAAAACTGTGAGACTTGGGTGAGACTAGCGTGGTCCAACTCAAATGGGAGGCAAATGAGACTTCACTAAACGGAGCTCAGCCGGGGCACAGTGTGCCATGCGTCCTCACTTGACAATCGGGGTGTCTGAGACATTCATTGGAGCGCGCACAGTCCCTGAGAGAAGCGAAGTGCGTGCGATCAGAGCACCGGGTATAAGCCTGAAGTGCAGCCAAGCCCCTTTTGTAAGTGAGCAAAGAAGATGTCTGAGGCTAGGGCGCAAGTGATGCACGCAAGACAACAGTGCGCAACGTTGGCTTGATACTAAAATGGTGCTCTAAATAAGAGGTGCAGATAGGTTGCTTCGTTTTGGTGGGTATTCAGGCTACTTCGGTCGGATAGTTGAAGGCGCAGTAGAAGCTACCGTTTGACGTCGAAGTCAAGTTGTCCGTAACATAAGGAGTGGAGCGATCTCCGTCGCAGCAGAGTGGATCCCAATCACTACACGTAACTACTTTCTTTATGCGATGAAATATCACTTTTGTGACGGATCCACAGGTCTAAGTTGAACGTGGGGTAGAAGGTAATCATATTCCAAACAATTCGCCCCATACGAACCACACAGGTCAAATCTGATTGGGATAGGCTGGACAGCTCCCGAGTGGAATGATATAATCACCAATGGATGGATGAAGGAGGCATGTTATAGATGTTTGATTGCAGCCTTGCAATTTCCTTTCAAAGGATATGTTAAATTATAAATTATATTACTTGTCTCCTTGTTCCGCAAGTTTTCAGACATGGAATATTTTGTTGCGAAGGGATTACACTACAAGCAGCTGGTCTCGTGAAATATAGGCATATTGTGAACCGGTACATTCTCCGGCAGTGGTCCCCAACCTTTGTATCGCCGTGCACCGGTCGGCGTTTGATAATTGTACCCCGGCCCGCTGAGGAGGTTTGTTGAACGTTTACATGTTAGATTGTTTTGAGTGCATAATTTTATTGTCATTGTGATTGAACATGTCCTGAAAATAAAATGCAATTACAACAAAAAAATAGATATAAAGTAATATAATACGTTAACTCACTAGAACGTTAAGTTACAGACAACCATGAGCGTGTTCCTCTGCAACGAGACTGATCCATTTGGGGGAAATAGGAGACAATGACGCTTGATGTGTGCTGCCTAGGTCCAGTTAATCTGGTTGCTTTGTTTCGGCTGCGGACACTGCAGAAAACCCCGCTTCACACAGTTAGGTTGTCAGAAATGGCAATCTGCGCGTGATTCACTTTGACTTTAATTGCAGAACACCGGCGAAGTTGTTTGTCACGAATGTACTATCAAGGCCACCGTCATTTGCAATCTCAGTAGTGGTGCATAATGTGGGATAGATGAGTAATAATAATGCGATAATATAACAGGTTGTGAGTCAACAGTTTAGAAACTGACCTGTAAATCGTCGAAATCCACAACATTTACAAAATCATACAAACATTTCTATTGCCATAATCGTTACCCACCAGATGGAAAAATATCAAATATAGTGTTCTGTTGCTTGGCAATTGAAAGGAAAAGAATTTAGTTTTTCTCACGTCCAGAAGAAGTGCAAGCATGCCAGTGTGTCCACTATGTATTGCGTAGGAGCGCGAAATATCAACTTCACCCTGTGCGTCCGTGAATGTCCACGTTTTCAGAATGTTTGTAAAATCCTGTTCCTGATGGTAGTCTGATTCATTATTCACCTTCTCAGCTGCTAAAATTGATGTGGTTGGCAGGTCCCAGTTTAGTTCTGTTGCGTGACATGTTTGGAAATAAGAATCAACCAGATGGCTGTCAGCCAGTTTGCATCCAAACAATTCCTCTG